GGACGGCGGTTACCGGACTGGACGATCGTGGCTCGTCTTCGTGGCTTTGAGAACTCGAATACCTCACTTGGTTGCATAGTTGCAGCTTCCAGGTTGGGAACTCGTATAGCTGTTGCGAACTGGAAAACAGTTTATATCTGGGCGCTGGAGCCAGGCGCGCTGATTGAACAGAATGCAACCAGATTTTACCCAGATTCATCTTGGCCACCAGACTCTGAGCTGATTGATTTGCAGCCTATTGCCCTCTCTCTTGATGCTGTATGTTTTCAGCTACGCTTTGGTTCAGGTGAAAACGACCTGGTAGCCATTACAGACAGAGGTCTGGTATATTGTGATCTCGACCCGTCCGGGAGGAGTCACAGAACAATCTATCAGTTGGGCATGGAAAATGCACCGGGTTCCTGAGAGCTTCTGGGCAAAGTTAATGTTTGAGGGATCAGAAGTTGCATAATTTTCTGCCAACACTCCTATCAAATCATCTATCACTGAATGCATATTTAATAGTGACAATTAGAGATTGGGGTTAACAGTAATAAGCAGTACATCAACTGCGAAGCATAAAGATGGGACGATAATTTGAGTAAACATGTTCCGTCCCCTGTTTTGAACCAATTAATTATAGCACTAAATCACTGCACTTTATGGAAATATAGGCATAATGGACCGATTTCGGTTAAAGTGGGCACATGCTACAAGTTACCATGTCAAGATATCATCTGCCCTGCCTCTTCTGATCCTCCTTTCTGGAAGGCGAGTAATGTCAGTGCTAGTCCCCGTTATCAGAGGGAGATGTATGTCAACATCATGTCATCTAATTTGCGGATAGCTGATGCCGGGCACGCTCGCACGTTTCAGCAGGGTTCTTCTTTCCCTTTCATGCCAAAGCCCACCGAGCACCAGGCGAAACTGGAGTATGAATGTGGCATATGAGCTGAAATGAAGACGTTCTAGAGGGAACGCATAACCGTCTGGGACGACCACATTGATTTGCTCATAATTAAGATAAGTCTTGGGGGAATTGCACCCAGCAACAAACCTAGCCAAGTAATAACTAGTATACCATGTCTAAGAGGAGAACATTGATCTACGCAATGAATTTGTAAAGAGTCTACTGACTTTCCCCACCGCCAGACATAGCCAAGAAGGTGACAATGAGGAAAACCCACCAGTACCTAGATACGTGTTAGACGATTTAGCCAGGACGTTTCAGAGGTGGTGGGGGCGGAAGGCGATAGATAGTCAGTGGGGAGGACCTACTTTTGGAAAATGGTTTTCTCAACGACTTCCTCCGCATTCTTGCCATCCGGACCAAGCACAATAGGCTGATTGAGATGTGGGCGTGGACCGGCTTGACTAGACAACAGCTCCAGCTTTGGGCTTACTGGCGTAGAAGATGAAGAAGAAGTTGATGAGGTGGACGGCAGCAAGTCAACGTAGTAGATATTGTTGGATGGGCCGAGGTGAAGCCTGATCGTTGGCCTGTCGTTCTCGCTCCCTATAAGGGAGGACCGTGAGGCGAGGGTCCCTACCCATTGTTTGGTGTTGGCAGACGTAGAGGTGTACAAGCCCAGGCGGATCAGGTCATTTGACACGTCCTGCGGTCCGTTGTCACCGCACGCTGCGGCAATATTCGTTGACGAAAAGGTGAACTCCGGTTGCAAGGTTGTCGAATCGTACGAGACGTGAGCCAGGACGGACGGTTCGGGAGAAGCTACAGGCCAGCATAGGATCTCGGCTGACTGTGGTTGAGCGGATGAGGAGATGGCCGCGGAGAGGGAGAATAGGGAGAGCGCAGGAATGAGATTGAAGTAGAATGACCGCATGGTTGGTTCCTGAGCTGTGAGATGAACCGTTGCTTGATTGAGGCGAGGTTTGGGTTTGGGAGGGGAGGACGCTGTTAGAGACAAGAAGAACTAAACCGAAAGTCGAGTCGAAAGGCGGGAAGTTTGGAACCAGCTTTAGCTTACTGCATCTAGACTATCCAAGCTCCGGAGGGCAGCGAGCGGTGGAATGTTGACTAGCGCGGAGAGTTACCCGCTAAATTACTAAGTAGTACTTGTAACTAACGTAGTTAACTACTGATTGCATTCTGCCATGCATGGATTTGATTTGCGTTCCCCGCATACTACTCTCATCATAAACAAAAATAAATATATAACTACAGATCGAGCGTCCTATTGGCTAATATACCTCTTTTTCCATTGTAATACTGTAGACATATCCACTGGCAGCTATTCACAGATGTTTTCCCTCCCATCCCCGCAGGAACACAAAACAGGAAGAGGAGGAAAGTGGGTCGGTCATAAGTACATAGTTCAATCATACTCCTCAAGTACTTTTTACTAGTATTTAGTTCTTATGAAGGTGGGGGGGAGCTCCCAAAATAATCTCTACCGGATGATAAATTCATGGAGTTTGAACCAATGCACCTAATCGATCATTTAACCTCTCTTGATTGCCGCTTGTCCCCTTTGGTTGTCATAATCTTCCAATTAATCCAATTCCTTCATCCCGCAGGTGCCTAACAAAGTCAATCAATCAGGTGTAAGTCTCGAGTCTGTGTCACCCAAGCAATCAATTGGCTACAGTATCTACCCATCAATCGCACAGAATCCTCCCCCTCAACCCCCCACCTTTCCAGTTCTTTCCTTTCCACCTGTCTCTTTACAGCTGCCGTGCTAAGATCTATACCCTCTTATCGTACAAATATAGACCCTTTCCGCTCGATCCCAGTGTCTCTCGCCGTTCCCATCTTAACTCCATGGCTTCTATACCCCAAATGCCTTATCGACGGCCCTCTCGGCAGGGTTCTAGGCAGGCGTCGATAGATACGCGGGATGAGATACAGGTCCGCGTAGACCACTATATCGGAATTGATGTTGGGACTGGCAGTGCCCGTGCTTGTATTATCGATAGCAAAGGCGATATTGTCGGCCTAGCCTCTGAGAACATCGGTCTTTGGCAACCTCAACAAGGATATTATGTACGTATTGGTGCCCTAACTTTCTCTTGCCCGGTCCCTATCGTAAGTCTATGTGTGGCCTCCGATTGACTTCCCTGTCATCCAGGAACAATCTACGAATGATATCTGGCGATGCATCTGTGTAGCTGTTCAGCGCGCAATCAGCCAGCACAACATTGACCCAGAAACCGTGAGGGGCATTGGGTTCGATGCGACATGCTCATTGTCGGTTTTCTCCAATGTTACGAACGAACCGATATCCGTGACGGGTCCCAACTTCAACTCGGACCGCAATGTGATCCTCTGGCTCGATCATCGCCCAGTGGAGGAAACCGAAAAAATCAATGCCACAAACCACAATCTGCTCCGCTATGTGGGCGGAAAGATGTCCATCGAGATGGAGATCCCCAAAGTCCTGTGGCTGAAAAACCATATGCCAAAAGAGCTCTTTGACCAGTGCAAATTCTTTGACCTGGCTGATGCTCTGACTTACATTGCCACCGGCGCCGAGCAGAGAAGCTTCTGTAGTGTAGTCTGCAAGCAGGGATATGTTCCTGTAGGAGTGGACGGGAGCGTAAAAGGTTGGCAGGAAGACTTTCTGCAGGAAATTGGTCTGCAGGACCTGTCAAAGGATGACTTTAAGCGAATGGGCGGTGTCGACGGGGTGGTGAGCCTTTTTCTTTGATGATCCTATCAACCACACGTGTTACCCTTTATCCACAATCTACCTGCCAATGAGTTTGGTGGCTAACTGATGCTTCTTCAGAATGGCAACTATCTTAGCGCTGGTGAACTGGTTGGCACACTGTGTGACAGAGCTGCCTCAGAGCTGGGTCTGCCCCCCGGGATAGCAATCGGCAGCGGCGTCATCGATGCCTATGCAGGTTGGATTGGCACCGTCGGCGCTAAGGTTGATCTCGAGTCGGAACAGCTGAGCTCTGACATCGCCAAGAACGATAAAGCGCAGGCATTCTCTCGCTTGGCCGCTGTCGCTGGAACTTCGACCTGCCATCTTGCGATGTCCCCAGATCCAGTTTTTGTTCCTGGTGTCTGGGGGCCTTACCGTGATACTATTCAACCTGGATATTGGATGGCTGAGGGCGGCCAGTCCGCAACCGGGGAGCTGCTCAAGCATGTTATCGAGACTCACCCCGCGTTCAATCAGGCACTCTCGATCGCTGAGTCGTACAACGCCAATATATATGAGTATCTAAACGAGCATCTTAGAGAAATGGTTCATGATCAGAAGGCTCCTAGTATCTCATATCTAGGCCGACACATTTTCTTCTACGGCGATCTTTGGGGCAACCGTTCCCCCATTGCAGACTCTGCAATGACAGGTTCTCTGATTGGGATGACGAGTGACAAATCTGTGGATGGCCTCGCCATTCATTACTATGCCACGCTCGAATTCATCGCGCTACAAACCAGGCAAATCGTGGAGACAATGAACAAAGCAGGTCATAGCCTCACCTCCATTTTCATGTCGGGCTCTCAGTGCCAGAATGACATCTTGGTAAAACTGATATCATCTGCCTGTGACATGCCTGTGCTTATACCTCGTTATATTCATGCTGCTGTTTGCCATGGTGCAGCCATGCTGGGTGCCAAAGCCGCTAGTGCTGACGCAGAAGGCAAGACAGAAGATCTATGGTCTATCATGGACCGCATGAGCAAACCGGGAAAGAAAGTCGTCCCAACTACGGATAAGACGGAGAAGGCCTTGCTTGACGCTAAATACAAGGTCTTCCTGGAGCAATGTTACAAGCAGCAGGAGTACCGAGCTCTCGTAGACCAAGCCGTGGCCTCCTGGAAGTCCTAACCTACTTTCTCCACTCAACATTTTTCTTTTCGCGTTGCGGAAAATAGTCTCTCTTTTCTTTTTACTGAAGGAGGCAAAGAGATCATGTCAGAACTTGCGGGCAATATTACTAGCTAGCGTGCAAAGATAGCCGTACATATTACACGCATCTACCATAGAATATCACGCAAGACATGAAAACAGACCATGAGTAACAGATTATGCAAGTCTAGTTATACAACTTCAATAATGTGGCAGATATACATGTTCGAAAAGCCCCAACCAGCACGCAAATGTTAAACAATTTCGGGCAATCTTGTCAGACTCTAAAACACGGGAGCAATGCACGCATGATCTGCAGCGAAAGTGTCTGCCTCAGATTTCCAGCCTTCACCAAGGATTTGACAAGCAGACACACAAATTAATCTACATTCAAAAAGCCCTTCCACTCCTGGACCTACCAATCGTGTAATACTTCTCGACTGGACTCGAACCAAGGGCCAGCGTATCGAAACGATCGACACCCATGGTCTCCAAATTGCTGTAGCCAGAGAGATAAAATCCAATCACAACCACGAGGTACGTAAGGACGAGGATAGAGCCCTTGAAATAGTTGCTCTTTCCTTCGCCGTGCACGTACGAGAGCAGAAAGACACAAAGGATCACGGACACCATGTCCCACTGAGGGAAGATAAGGCTGTGATGGAAAGGTTGTTAGCAAGGTTTCTTGCCGTAACATACTGGCTCTAAGGGACAAAAAGTACGGCATGGGCATGGTGAAACATACTTGAAGGTGTGGCTTAGTAGCTCAGAAGGATCGATGACGCGGGCATAGAGAGCACTGAAGAGAACTAAAGCAGGTATCTGCAAAAGGCAAACCTGGAGAGCGTAGGCTGAACCAATCTCCATGGACAGCGCGATATTGCCGTTCATAGCAAACGAAATAGCGTTCTGTGAGCCAGATGAATAAGTTAATTTGAAAGTGCTGGCAGCGTTTATTAAGGATTACATACCAGAAATTCTGTTGTGTTGGGCACCAAGGCAAAGAGCGTGATTCCAAGGAATTTTTCATCGATGTCGACACTTTCCAGGACCACGTCCACCGTGTTCACGAGGATTTCCGCGATGACAGCATAAAGAATAGTAGCACCCAGAAGTATTATGGAACTCCTCGTTTTACTCCAGTTGGGTGCATCATGGCCGCCGCTAGTATGGCCAGGCTCCAATCCGATATCCTCGCTTTCCTCAAGCAAGGTCTTCACTTGATCAGCGGGACTTTTAGCCGCTTGACGCGTGCTTGCTTGCTGGGCCAAGGGCTTCCTTGTTCGGGCCGCATCGCGAGCGGCAACAGCAGCAGCCGTTGCGGCAACCTCTGTCACCTGGCGTACAAGATCCTCATTGTCTTCATTGGACAGACCAGTGAAATTTCTCAGTCTGGGGTTGCTATCGTCGCCTTCCGTCCGAGGGGGCACAAGGTATGGTGTTGTGCTCTTTCCTTGCAAAGAGGAGGTGGAGTCGGATTGGGCGTTATGATCATTGGGGTTATCAGATAGTCCGACCTGCTTTAGAGACTGCCCCAGTATGCGCTTGTACAATTGAGAATCCCGAACCGAGCCCTTGGTGATGGAGCCACCGGTGCTCCCAGCTTGAATGTGAGGGAAATCGCCGTGTCTAGCTTCGTAGGCGGCTTGTTCATTTGCGAGAGCCACAGCCTTCTTCTCCTCTACTTCTGTCGCCCAGATAAGAGCAGCATGGGTCCTCAGAGTGAACCATAACCCGATGACATAGGACAGGAACAAAAATATAGCAGCGAACCACGAATATGGCTGGACTGCCTTTCGGAAAAAGCTGTCGTTCACGGCCGGCGTCTGAGAGAAATAACAGCGACGACAATCGCTATCCTCGGTTCCTACAGTGCTAACACACAAGCGACAGTTGAGCTCATGCTAAAAACCAGGTTGTCAGCGGAAATGCTAGGTGGACAATAACACAGAAGAGGGTGACACTTACGCTGCCATATATCTGGTAAAAGAGCGTGGGTCCGAATGCAGCAATAACCGCAAACATCAGCATTGTCGACGTGACGCCCGCAGACTTCACATTGAACCGCTGGGTCTTGCGCTTGATAGCGCCAAAGCACATGGAAAGTCCCGGAAGAAATAGGATACCTGCAAAGATGCTACCGATAATGCTGCCCTCAACAAGTTGCCCTTTGCCTTCTGTTAAAGCAACACAGTAAAGATAGACTTCAACTACGGTCGAGAAGAAGGCATTCACAGCTGCACCCATGCCCATGGAGGATTGAGCGGAAATCGATGCAACAGCCTGTCCAATGAAATAGGCCAAGGGGATGATGGAGACAAGCGCAAGGGAGAATATAAGACCTGGGTGCGTGATGGCAGATTGGAGGCCCAGTGTCTCGCTGAGAAGAAAGTAGTCAAAAATGACAAATAATACGACACCAAGAAGGTTGATCAAGAAAATGTTGGTCCCGCCGACAGTATACTTCCAATATCTCAATCCTGCTGCACGATAGGTGCATAACAGGACGGATGAGGAGGACCCGGGACTGAGTCTGGTGTAGGTGGTGTCGGAATGGTACGACAGAGCCAAGGGGTGACGACGAAGGTGATCAAATAGGATAATGGTCACACGTCCCATGGGAATCCAGAAGACCAACAACCAGCAAAGCAGCGAGACTAGAAGCATTAGAGGCCCTACGAGAAAGTAGAAAAAGACGAAGAATACGACGCGGCCAAGCGTCCACTCGCCACGACCGAATAGGCGTCGCTTAGGATGGCTAAGGGGACTCTCTCGAGGGCTGCCCCTTTGCGTTCGCCCTAGAAGACTATCTTGTTCGCTGGCCGAGTCGACACTGTTTCTTCTTCTCCCGACCAGTGACCGGTCGCGTCGAGGTCCGAAGAACAGCCGGCCATGCTCTAAGTCGCCATTCTGCCATTGTTCGTACTCACTAATGCTGCGGCCTTCACCCTCGTCTTCTTCTGCATAATTTTCGTCCGTGTCCAGACGGACGAAGGAGCCAAACGGATATATCAAGTACCAGGAGAGTCCCGAGAAGACCCTACCATATTCTAGTGCGCTGGGTGAATATGCGAAGACGAAACAAGCGACAGCACCTGTAAGCGCAGCCAGGGCTAACCACCAACCAAAGAATACTGTCCACAGAAGGTTAGTCAAGAACAACAAGTTGCCCACGCGACCGCCAGGCGACGAATGGATATCGCCTTCGGCGGTTTTTTCTACCGAACGGCTCTTTTTGTACAAGGCAGGTTTCCAGAGCCTTATCCCAAAAGGGTGAGTCTCGTTGATGGCCTGCTGGCGATCCTTCAGCGTGAAGCTTTCGGCATCACTAGTCTCTGCTTCATCTTCATCATTGTTATCGTTACTATCAGGGCTCCCACTCTCCGACTGTTCAGCCGAAGGTTCTAATTCCGTACCCGGATCAGGCAGGCCAATCACTTCTTCGCTTTCGTTTTCGGTTTCCGGTTGAATCAATGGGCTGTTCATGCGGGCATTGAGTCTTCGTCGCAGAGTCGAGCTCTGTTTTCTCAAGGGACGTATCCTAGGCGATGACTGGGGATTGGACGCGTGTTGCAGAGCTATATCCTCCTCTACTTCCTGTACATCATCCTCCGTAGAAAATTCTTGTCCCTTGTGAGGTACCTGTCGCTTAGAAGACATACGGCGGGTTACAGATGGTTTTCTCGGCCTGTCGGGCTGCAGCGGTGGGGTGGAAGTCGACTGAGAGGTAGGCATGCGACTCGAGCTTTCTGGCTGGTTTTCTTCCAGACGGGGATCAAGGTCCATCCTTGCGGGAGAATCTAAGGTTCCTACAGGATAAATCAGTCTTTTGGGTCAAAAGGGGGCAAAGAAGCGAGAGAGCGCACCATAATTCCGCCTGGATTGTGTCGCATTCCTCTGCTGACGGTAAGCTCCAGATGACATATCCTCGTTATCGATGTTTGACGATGAGTCGACGGGATCGATGGGATGAGAAGGACCCTGACCCTCCCTTTCGTCGTTGTTTGACATGGTTGGTCAGCTTGTTTCGAGACTCGATTTTCTTAGCAACTTTTTTTTTACCAGCCCCCTTTGACCGTCTTTGTGATGATGTTGCAAAAACAGGGAGGCTGGGGGATGCCAGGAAAAGGATAGTTCGAGAAACACTAGTAAGAGAGAGTGGCCTGCACTTGAAACAGAAACGGAGATATCTTTCTTTTAACATGAACCAAAAAGCAACTAAGTTACATGTTGGAGTAAGCCCAAGAAAAAAATAACAATCCGGGACGGACAGAAAGCGAGAGGGTAGAGAAGCAGGCGCGAAATGAGAAAAGCAGCTAGCTAGTTAGTTAGATCATGAGATAAGGTCTCACTCGCATCCCCGCAGTCAGCTGAGACCGTAGATATGCAGGTCACAGACGCGACCAAGAAGGATTGCACAATTTCAAAGACGAGTCCAGCAATAGTATTCGAGGTGGATGCCGAGAGATTGACCTGAGTAGGCTGTGGGTTGAAGCTGATCAACATTGGATTGGGAGAACCTGTGGATGTGTATCTACTGCGTACCACAGCGCTGACCAGCTACGTAATGCGCGTATCCCCCTCGTTACGTACAGTACATACATCCACCATACGAAATATGGGATCCCATCATATCTGCCTGGATGACCCAGTCTATTGCTTTGCTTCACTAGTGTTGTGCCGGTATTATTTACTGTATGATGGGCCTGCCGAACTCCAGCGTGATTGTTGTTAACTAGTAACATGTGTGTTTGGAGTGGTGTCATATTATTCTTAACAGTCCTGGTTGGGCGGCTTACTCAACTCTACTAGTAGAGAGTAATACATCACATGACTTGCTGCACTAGCCTCAGGCCTTGTGGCTGGTGTCTGTCCGAAGCGCTCTGCTGATATCAGCTAGTAGCCTACTTCGGGTTACCTCACCTAAACTAACAGCTAACTGCGGTACCTATCCCGCAAGAGCTCTCTCAACCCAGCTACCATAACCACTCCTTTCATCACCTTCACTGTGCCTCGCAGTTCGACTATTCTCTTCCGATTTTCCTGATCCGATCAAAAAAGGACTCTATTGGCTTCTGAAATCGCCCCAAATCAATTAAATCGCCGACGTCTAGTTCTTCGTGATTCACGCCTCGCTCTGGCCGTATCTAGGAGCGTCATACCTGGCTGTCCATCATGGCGCTCGACAACTATTATCGCAACAAGATTGAGAGCATGAAGCTCGAAATCATCCAGGGTCAGGCTGTCTTACGGAGATTGGAAGCACAGCGCAATGACTATAATTCGAGGGTGCGGTTACTTCGGGAAGAACTCGGCCTGCTTCAACAGCCTGGATCCTATGTTGGGGAGGTAGTCAAAGTGATGAGCACCAAGAAAGTCCTCGTCAAAGTGCATCCCGAGGGCAAATATGGTAAACCCCCTCTGCAAATATGCTCAACTCCGTGCGTCTCTTACTAACTTCTCTTGCGACGCTACAGTGGTGGACATTGCGGATGGCGTTGATATCAGCAAGCTTACTGTAGGAAAGCGGGTCGCTTTACTCTCGGATTCCTATAAGTTGGAGAAGATGCTACCCTCGTCGGTTGACCCGCTGGTGTCCCTAATGATGGTCGAGAAGGTGCCTGACAGCACGTATGACATGATTGGTGGACTCGACCAGCAGATCAAGGAGATCAAGGAAGTCATCGAGCTTGGCTTAAAACATCCGGAATTGTTCGAGTCGCTTGGTATCGCACAACCAAAGGGAGTACTTCTCTACGGACCGCCAGGAACTGGCAAAACCCTGCTTGCCCGGGCGGTAGCCCATCACACCGATTGTCGGTTTATCAGAGTGAGCGGATCGGAATTGGTGCAAAAATACATCGGTGAAGGTAGCCGCATGGTCCGCGAGCTGTTCGTAATGGCTCGAGAGCATGCTCCCAGCATCATATTCATGGATGAGATCGACAGCATTGGATCCAGCCGCATAGACTCGGCAGGTTCGGGTGATTCGGAGGTACAGCGGACGATGCTTGAGCTCCTCAATCAACTGGACGGATTTGAACCTACCAAAAACATCAAGATCATCATGGCCACCAACCGGCTTGACATCCTGGACCCCGCCTTGTTACGTCCTGGCCGAATTGACCGGAAGATTGAGTTCCCCCCGCCGTCGTGAGTATCTCCTCTGACTTGGCTCTTATGAGGTGAAGCTTATGTTACGTTGTACTAATTGATTTCCGTCTTACAGGGTGGAAGCTCGTGCCGATATTTTGCGAATCCACTCGCGGTCAATGAACTTGACGCGAGGCATCAACCTAACGAAGATTGCGGAGAAGATGAACGGATGTTCTGGAGCTGAGCTGAAGGGTGTGTGCACGGAAGCAGGCATGTACGCTCTGCGAGAGCGGCGGGTACATGTTACTCAGGAGGATTTCGACCTAGCCACCGCCAAGATCCTCAACAAGCACGACGACAAAGAAGTCGCGGTCTCCAAGCTTTTCAAGTAAAGAAGAGTTGGCGTGTGAACAGTACCAGGTTACTACAGCAAGAACTATTGGCATTTATTTTCGATGTTCCCTGATGGCCGCCTCGGCGACATCGCCACATATGTACTCTGATCATAACACCCACACATAATCGTTCTCAGTGTCCCTGTTGAAGGACGTGTATGTTTGTGTGTGTGACGTTGAAGTCTAAGATGGGTCTCACTGTGCGCATACAGTATCGTAAACGGGGTTTTGTTAGCGGTCGGGTGGACGCGAAGAATAAGTCTCAGATTTGGCTATACTAGGCATAGGCACACCCTTGTGACTGAATGGTTGGTCGAAATACGGCCCTCGGCTTGCGAGGACAATCATCTTGAGTCCGGAAGGGTAAGGCGTAGCAAACCAATGAAGTGTATCTTTCATTGGATGCTCAGGAGATGATCATCTCGTCATACATGGCCTACTTTGTAGTACTCGGGCAATACTTACTGCGTGATTACCATATCTAGTTGATCTTAAGTCTGGCATTGTCTACTGGCAGATGAATGGATGAACTACATGATGCTTCAATGACCGTGTCATAGTTCTCATTCATGCCCAATATCTTGCCTAACACGGGGAGAAGTGCCACAATCGCCTCCCTTTTCCCCGGATGTTTGTATGACGTATGCCGTGTGGAAAGGAGGCTTCTATTGGTGAGACTGTATCGCCGTGTTTCTTCAAAACATATCAGGGGAGGGCGAGGACTTACTGATATGTTATCAAGGTCAAGGTACGTGCACTGTGGCTGCTTACCTGCCTCTTTACGTGATTGCAAGAGTTTCTTTTGGGCTTATAAGGGAAGTACAGATCAGCTAGTGAGTATGTACTAGTGCTGTGTGCTGCAGTGATCGACTAGATGGTTAGTAGCAAGTGAGCTCAACTGACCGCCAAGAATCCACTACTGACTGTATAGTTCACTTGTGTACTGGATTAATATGTACTATGCCGAAGTCTACCTACACTCTGTCTGTCCATCGCCAGGATTCTTGTGCAACACCAGGCTTGGCAGAGGGATGGGCAACATGGATTCGGCGACAGCCAAGCCGCCAGGGTGGACCTGGAATAAGTAGGATTTGCAGGGGAGGAAGTTTGACTGCGAGGTGATAGGCAGATATAGTAAAAGTCTTGTGAGACACGTATATCTGAATTTGCCTGTACAATGGAAATAGGCCCCCATAAACATACTTCGGCATGTACGGTGTGCAGCTGCAAGGCTAGGAAGGTTTCGCCAGTTTTACCACATCTTACTTTCAAGCTCCGCGTGATCGATTAGTATGAAAGTATGAAAGGCAAAAATCGGGTACTCTTTAATGTGACTCTGGGGGTTTACAGGATGACGTCTGGGGTAGCTTGGGTCAGGCCATAGTACTGCATAGGAGGAGATGGCATGACATGTGTTTTGTTGCTTGTGTTGGCAGTGGATCGCCAGCATCTATGCGGAGAAAGCATGAGCAGGTCACCGCCTATTATATATTTAGATGGTACTTACTAGTTACTTGAAAAGATACTTTCAGGGAACTTCGCCATCCATGAAGTTGGGACTGTGAATGATGTAAATAGAAATGTTCCTTGTAACGAACTACTGTAGAAACTCGCTCGGCGTTATAGCAGTGCCCATAGCACCTAAACGTATTCTCATCCCTAGCATCGTCTGGACGTCCGGAGCACAAAGTCCGAAACTCAGGTACGGAGTATTGATAGGCTTCATAGCGGCTTTCCAGAATCCCGACTGGCCGGTTGATCTCCGGTTGACGCGTCGAGAGGAAGAACTTTGACGTGCGCGTGACCAGCGGGTCCTTGTCTTAATAATCAACTTTTGTGCTGCAGTCTCTTGGGATGGAGATGAATTAATACTACTCCGTACAGTAAAATAACTACAGTCAGTAGGTACTCCGTGGATTACTGAGTACTAGTATTGTTTTTGTTGAATGGAAAATGCTCAGGGTCTCGGCTCAAGTGGGGCAGTCCAGATCTGATGACCTTCCCAGAAGGTGGATCACTTTTTCTTTCCCACCCCCCCCCCCTTTCTTTCTGAATGGTTATGGACTAACAGTTAGGTCTCCATTTTTCCACTCCATAATAGACAGTCTCGTACGAGAAACCGGGAGATGCAATGGGGTGGAATTAATGGAACTCCTGGGGGAAGCGGGGAGGATTTCTACTATTGGATGATTAAGAAGGCACAGGTCGCTGTACTTTCCCAAATTATCTACACAGTACTACTATATCTCTGGTATTTCATCATACTCTTTCTTCCTCCTCCAATTGTTCTTTCCACTATAGTAGTTGCTTCTACCTGGTAGTAGAGTACTAGTACTACAGTAAGTACTAGTCATTCCATGGCATTCTACTAGATAAGATGAACACTCTAGGAGAAATTATTTCCATGTGCCCCAAATTTCTCCCTCGTCTCCCCACGGAATTCAACCCATCTGGGACAAGGCAGCTCAAATAGGTAATCTGCCAGGACGCCGGGCTCGGCAGCCATGCATTGGTCACCGTCCATCTTTTTTATTCTTTGCCAGATCATCATCATCCAGCCTAAACTTTAGAGCCCTGTCTTAGCTATTCTATTTCTGATTCAATAGTATTATTCACTATCTTACTTAAGTTCTCTGTTATCTCTTCCAATATGAGAGAGTTGTCCGTTTTTATGTCATTTATTCGACTTATGTTGGGGTATGCTTATCGGCTTTCATTTTCCGTCACCATTTCTGGTTTACTATGTAGTCTATCTAGTACTACCTTATCCGACTTGAACTTCCTCGCCCCCTGTCCTCTTTCTTACCTTTTTACTTACTGATAATCGGAGCAAAAGAGGGCTTGGCTGGACAGGAGGCAAGATGCATTCTCCATCCGGAGAAGATGGTCCGTCCTTTAAAACCCCCAATCACACCGATGCTACACCCCCCTTCTTAGATAGCAGATAGTAGTACTAGTTGGTGGTAGTACTTAGTACTACAGCGTGGTACAGTAGTATGTTGGTGACTGGCTAATGGCTAATGCATAATCTACTAAGTACGTAGTTAGCTGTTCTCATTCTTTCCCAAATTCCCAACTCTTAACCCCTTCCCCCCGGGGGGAGAAAAAAAGTGTGGGCCTATCCTTTCGGTCCGTCTGGAGTCATGCATGGTCTGGCTAGTTAGGTGATCTCTGGCTGCTTCTTCTGCTCCTTCTTCCTCTTCTTTGCCTTTGCCTTCCTCCCTCCCCCCTCTCACCCCCAACCTGCGACCCACCCTGGCGGATTGGATGAATGCTTGGCCCGTCTGATGATCTGTCCGGAGTACCGAGTACAACCTGCAGCTCCCATCTATCTATTCATTCTCTCAGGCCCATCCGAAGTAGATCACTGGCTCGGCTCGCATGGTAAACCTCCTCCCCCCCCCAATGTAGGTCGCTGCTGAGGTGAGGATCTTGCCATCCTCTCGCCTTCTTGCCCGTTGTCCGTTTCAAGTGGTTGCATGAATTTAGTCTCCTTATCCTCTTGGGTTCCCACACCGGCTTCCTTCTTTTGGCTCTCTCTTCATTGCCGTCTGTGTTGTTCCTTTAATTTTCTTTTACCGTTTCTTTTCTTTTTCTTTTCTTTTTTTTTTTTTTTTTTTTTTTTTTTTTTTTTT